TATATGAAATAATATATATATATATATATATATATATATATATATATATATATATATACAGTATATATATATATATATTTTTTTTGTTTTTTTTGTTGCTGTTTTGGCCAAATATTTTTGGTTACCAACATTTTGGTGCATCACTACCTTGAACCTTCAATATTAGAAGAACATTGTGCTGTATGATTTTTGTTACCGTTGTCTAAATAAATGCATTTGGGTGTGTGTTTGCAGCTCTTTTATCGCGTCACAGACGAGCGTGCAAAGAAGAGTGAGCTGCTATTGGTGGGAATGATCTGTTACTCCAGCAGACATTACTGTGCCTTCGCCTACCACACCAAATCATCCAAATGGGTTTTCTTTGATGATGCCAATGTCAAAGAGGTGAGACTACACTTGTCTGTTAGGGCTTAAAGGCACAATATGTCATTTTTGCCGCTAGAGGGCGTGTATTCAAAATAAACAAAGAAACAAAGCCGTAGTTTGATGAAGTGTGGAATCATGGGAGTTGTCGTCTTCATCTCCACAGCCGACGCAATGTGACAGGACTCAGGCAGAAATCATGTTCATGGATGAGCTAATGATTTATTAACGTAGTAGAATGAAGCAGTGTGAGGCTGAATGCCGTCGAAGCGAAACGAAGCCGCTGAACAAGCACGACACACGGCTCGAAAGCAGAAAGTTCTGTTATAATGCTACTCTGTGCGGTCATCACCGGTTTATTAAAATGCACAAAATATTAAAACGTCTTTGGTATTTCCATGTTTTCTACAAAACCGGAAATCGAGGGGTTATGACGTCATTGGCAGGCGACACAATGACACTATAGACACGGTCCGTGTCACTAGTTAAAATTGCTTATTTCTCTGGATTTAAACATTCTTCAAAACATTTCGGATAATGTGAGTACACAAGTCAGCAAAATATATATATAACACTGTTCTAGTGGTTTTTGGATATTTTAATAAAAAATTCTTACATATTGTGCCTTTTATGTCCTTCTGTCTATATATTTACACAATTACTATTCATAATGCTAACGACTACCCAGCAGTCCTGGTCATGTGCCTTATTAAACAAACATTCCCTCCATCTGCACATTTACATAACAAAACATTTTTACCATTTTAACTGATCACGTTTTTATTTCCTGTAACTTAACTTAACTCTTAACTTAACTTAACTGCTTCCTCCATTCTCGCACTCACACAAAGGGTTTCTAGTACGCTTCTTCATCAAATCTTTATTTTTCTCTTGATTTTGAAACACAATTTTTTTTTAGTTAAACCAAATATAGTTTAATTTTTTAGCAAAAATAGATTGTAAAAAAACATGATATTGTGTTTTCAAGTCTTACATGCATTGCTAAAAATGAATACCTTCCTCAGTATTTTTGTCTTGTTTTCCAATACAAATATCTAAACATCTTTAAATCGAGATCAATTTCCTTGAGATGCAAAATGAAGAGATAAAGTCTTGTTTTCTGAGAAACTGAACAAAATTAAGTGAGTTTAAAAAACAACAAATATCTGTAATTAGGGTTTGAAAACATTTCTCTTTGAAATACGTTGTTTTCCTAAGTCCATTGGTGGATATTTGTTCTTTTTATTCATAAACTCACTTTATTTTGATCAATTTCACAGAAAGCAAAACTTATGCCATTTCACTTCTCAATTAAATGCTTCTTTATTTACAAATCGTTAGACATTTGCACTTGTAAATTGCACTAAACTACAATTTTAACAAATTAAAAAAATATAAAAATAAAACTAATTAATAAAAACTATAATGGCATCTCAATTATACTAAAATTACAATGCCACCAATCAAAGGATTTTAATGGGCAGCCAGCGAGTGTGAAATATGTGGCGATGCAGTGTAGTGGTGCATCTCTTCATCATCTATCAGTAGTGTGCGGCTTGTGCTTGCATGTGCACTTCAGCTCTCACTGGGCTAGTGGTGCCCGTCTCCACCGCCAAGATAAATCACCCTCACACACAATATGTGCACTACAGTAGATGTGTGTGTGCTAACATACAGTATAGAGTAGATGTGTGTGTGCTAACATACAGTATAGAGAGCCAATCCAGTATGCAGTGTAAGAGAACGTACTTCATAACAGCTGTTTTGTTGATTAAGCATGTCTTAATTCATCTCCTTTACAGTCTGCTTGCCTGCAAGAGCTTGCCTGCTCTTTTTTGACTGTTCAGATAATTGTGTTTCTTTAATGCATCCTCGTCCTGCTTGCTGACTTTTACTGCTGTTCTCTTCCGTCTGTTAATTAAGAAGGTTACATCTGTTTGCCTGGAGAGACTTTTGTAGTACAGCCTGCGTACTCTTACCTCCGAAGCATGCAAGCCTTCACGTCTAATAATAATCTAACACTTCAGGTAACTGCTCTCTGTATGCTAAAGAATTATTATTTTTTTAAAGGTGGGATCCAGATGGAAGGATGTGGTCACTAAATGCATCAGAGGTCACTTCCAGCCCTTGCTCTTGTTTTACTCTAACCCTGATGGCAGTGCTGTGGTAACAGACGAGGCCCAGCGGACCAACAGCAGTGCTACCCAAAATAAGAGCTCAGTCAATGGAGAAGCACCAGGTAGAAACCAGTTTCAATGCAGTTATATTGTATTCAGGTCAATTCAACACATGTTAAGGTATACCATTTGAATAAAGACAAACTCTGCTATGACTTATTTTGAAACTATTTTTGTTGCTGGTAGCAAAAATAAATTGATATTTTAGCTGTCAACATAAATTAAACGTAACATTAAATCATTATTTTTAACACATTTAATAATGCATTCGTAATTTTAACGGTTTCATTCTGCTTTAAAAAATGACAGTAGATTAATCACAGATAATTATTTAATCACTTGAATTTTCAGATGCTTGCTTCCTTAAAAAAAAAAAAAAACACTGTTCAAAATCTCTGATTACATGCATTGCTAAAAATGAATACCTTCCTCAGTATTTTTGTCTTGTTTTCCAATACAAATATCTAAACATCTTTAAATCGAGATCAATTTCCTTGAGATGCAAAATGAAGAGATAAAGTCTTGTTTTCTGAGAAACTGAACAAAATTAAGTGAGTTTAAAAAACAACAAATATCTGTAATTAGGGTTTGAAAACATTTCTCTTTGAAATACGTTGTTTTCCTAAGTCCATTGGTGGATATTTGTTCTTTTTATTCATAAACTCACTTTATTTTGATCAATTTCACAGAAAGCAAAACTTATGCCATTTCACTTCTCAATTAAATGCTTCTTTATTTACAAATCGTTAGACATTTGCACTTGTAAATTGCACTAAACTACAATTTTAACAAATTAAAAAAATATAAAAATAAAACTAATTAATAAAAACTATAATGGCATCTCAATTATACTAAAATTACAATGCCACCAATCAAAGGATTTTAATGGGCAGCCAGCGAGTGTGAAATATGTGGCGATGCAGTGTAGTGGTGCATCTCTTCATCATCTATCAGTAGTGTGCGGCTTGTGCTTGCATGTGCACTTCAGCTCTCACTGGGCTAGTGGTGCCCGTCTCCACCGCCAAGATAAATCACCCTCACACACAATATGTGCACTACAGTAGATGTGTGTGTGCTAACATACAGTATAGAGTAGATGTGTGTGTGCTAACATACAGTATAGAGTAGATGTGTGTGTGCTAACATACAGTATAGAGTAGATGTGTGTGTGCTAACATACAGTATAGAGTAGATGTGTGTGTGCTAACATACAGTATAGAGAGCCAATCCAGTATGCAGTGTAAGAGAACGTACTTCATAACAGCTGTTTTGTTGATTAAGCATGTCTTAATTCATCTCCTTTACAGTCTTGCCTGCTCTTTTTTGACTGTTCAGATAATTGTGTTTCTTTAATGCATCCTCGTCCTGCTTGCTGACTTTTACTGCTGTTCTCTTCCGTCTGTTAATTAAGAAGGTTACATCTGTTTGCCTGGAGAGACTTTTGTAGTACAGCCTGCGTACTCTTACCTCCGAAGCATGCAAGCCTTCACGTCTAATAATAATCTAACACTTCAGGTAACTGCTCTCTGTATGCTAAAGAATTATTATTTTTTTAAAGGTGGGATCCAGATGGAAGGATGTGGTCACTAAATGCATCAGAGGTCACTTCCAGCCCTTGCTCTTGTTTTACTCTAACCCTGATGGCAGTGCTGTGGTAACAGACGAGGCCCAGCGGACCAACAGCAGTGCTACCCAAAATAAGAGCTCAGTCAATGGAGAAGCACCAGGTAGAAACCAATTTCAATGCAGTTATATTGTATTCAGGTCAATTCAACACATGTTAAGGTATACCATTTGAATAAAGGCAAACTCTGCTATGACTTATTTTGAAACTATTTTTGTTGCTGGTAGCAAAAATAAATTGATATTTTAGCTGTCAACATAAATTAAACGTAACATTAAATCATTATTTTTAACACATTTAATAATGCATTCGTCATTTTAACGGTTTCATTCTGCTTTAAAAAATGACAGTAGATTAATCACAGATAATTATTTAATCACTTGAATTTTCAGATGCTTGCTTCCTTAAAAAAAAAAAAAACACTGTTCAAAATCTCTGAAATTTCTAAAATATAATATTAAATAATAATATAATATTAAATAAATACTAAATAATATTTTGGAATATAATAATATTCCAAAATATAATTAAAAAAGTTAATAAATAAAGTGCTGCGTCTTCATTGAGTTTATTGTATAAGAGAGGATCATTAATATTGTTAGTTAATATTGATTAGCACTAATTGAGTGTTGTTTGTTATTTTGAATCAGTGGTGTGTTAGCTATGCTGATGCCTATGCAATTTAATGTTTGCATTTCACAGCAAGTGTATTCTGTATATAACTGTATGTGATTAATAAAATATCTTGAATCAGTGCTTAACTAGTGCCACTAGTACTGCTCGAAAATCTAAATGTGACCCTGGAGCACAAAACCAGTCATAAGGGTCAATTGAAATTGAAATTGAGATTTATACATACAAAGCTTTCTGTTGATGTATGGTTTGTTATGATAGGACAATATTTGGCCGAGATACAGCTATTTGAAAATCTGGAATCTGAGAGTGCAAAAAAATCAAAATACTGAGAAAATTAGGTTTTGATATATTTACAGTAGGAAATTGACAAAATATCTTCATGGAACATGATCTTATATTAATGATTTTTGGCATAAAAGAAAAATCTATAATTTTGACGCATGCAGTGTATTTTTGGCTATTGCTACAAATATACCCCAGCGATTTAAGACTGGTTTTGTGCTCCAGGGTCACAAATGTAAATTTTTGCACCACTAACAGTAAAGATTCACTACAAATCAAATAGGTTTAAAAATAAAGGTTTAATAAGGTTTTGAAAATCTTCATTGTTAAGCACACGATGGATGTTTTGTCAAATTTGATTATGTATTAAAAACCTTTAAGATTTTTTTTTTCTTTTGTGAAAATGTTCATAATTTTCACAGTACAAAATTAAATCAGAATGTCTTTTCAGACAAGTCACAGTCTTTGAAAGCTGTGGGTGTGAAAGATGAAGTAAAATAACCGAATAATATTAAATAAGTAATTTTATCAAATTAAATGAAGATGTGGTGCATAAAAAATTAAAGAATGAAATTATTTGTATGTCTCTTTCAGGTACTCCTATACTGGGCGGAAAGAAGTTGGAGTTGACGCGAGAGAACTTGACTGCTTTCTTCTCAAATCATGGTACTCCGAAGCAGAAGTCTCAGCCTCCCTCTGTGTTCAGTCGTGGCAGTAACCAGACCAGCGGCGGCAGAGGGCCAGGTAAAGAAAACACATAAACACACATACTGTATAAAGAACTTAAAACACGGATTCCACAAATGATATGGTTGCTATTATTGCAGCTCACAATGACTTGGTGGTTCTAACTGGATCTATTACTCATTTTCTTGCACTACATGCATTCATTTCGACAAATTGCTAGATATAAAGATATCAAAGCACTTTTATAAACTTTTATTTTTTTTTAAAAAGATATAAAAGCACTTAAAACACTAAAACATGAACACCCCAAATTGTATGTTTGGTATTGCTGCACCTTACAATGACTTGCTGGTTATGACTAGGACTGTTAATCACATTAATTAATTTGTCCAAATTGCAAGATGATGTCACGATTTATATTTTAATTAGATTAATTGTGCAGCCCTAGTAACAACATAATGACAGATATGTTTTCTTTTTTGAAAGTCAGGAATGAATTTCGCTACTCAAGACTGTTAAAACAAAAGACCCAATATTTGCTAAAGTGTACAATGTTTGGGATAAGATTTTTCTATTAACCGTTTGAATTAGGAAATATCAAAAAAAAAATAACAGCTGTTTTAATCGTAGTTTTAGTTAAAGTTTAAGTAATTATGTTGTTTTTATTAATTAACAAATATTAGTTTATATATGTATATGGGCTGTCAGTTTAACGCGTTAACTTGGTTATGAAAAAATAACGCGATTTAAAATATTTTAAGCAGTTAACGCAATGGCCCCATCCCCAGACCTCTACATAATCTTACATTTCATTTAGTTGGCTGTTGACAAATACGATGCAGGGCAACAACTCCATAAATGCAGTTATGCACTAAATTCAAGATATTGGTGCAAAAATGCCCCTGTATGTGTTTTTGTCTCATATTTATGTATATCACATATCACACGAGCAGCGAGAGCAATATCACAGGAGTGCTGATTTTGTCCCGATCTATGACGAGTTTAAATGTGATTTTATACAACAGTTCAGTAAATAAGAAGCTGGTATTTAGTTATATTTTAAACACAATATTATGTGTTTTTGCTCAATTTTGCAGAGGACATATTATCTTTTAAGCCATAGCAGAATTGTTGCGTGTCTCCGAGCAACACAGCAGTGTTTAGTTTCTGAATGAATCCACCTTTTGAGCGAATCGTGTGAATCAATGATTCAAAGGCCCATTCATAAACAGAGCAAAAACAAACGAACAAAAAATACTGAGATGTTTTTCAAATTATCTTCTTTTATGTTCAATAGTTTATGTTAGGATGTTGTTGCCTAAATGTTTGTGTCATACATTTTATGTTGAATCAAGTAAAATATTTATTTCTAAAGCTACAGTTTGTAATGTCTACTTAATACTTTCTCATTTAACACAAAAATAGCTTTAGTTGTTGTTGTTGTTGTTGTTTTTATTTTGTTGTCTTGGTTTTATGGTTTTTGTTTTGCTATTTTGTTTTGTTGCTTTTTTATGTTCAGTTTTGGGGATTTCTTTTTGGGGGTTTTTTCCTCTCTATTTTCTTTTTTTTTTTCTTTGCTTTTTTTTTCTCTCGTTTGTTTTAATGTGGCTTAGATGTCCATGTATCTCTTCAGGCCACTGTAAGAGTAAACTTTACAAAGTTCAGAAGGAGATCTGTGTCTTTTAAGTATGCTTGGGAATGTGATCTGGGATTGCTGATAGCATGATGTTTTCTCAGCTGTGTGACCGTTATGTGACTGCAGTGTGTTTGAGGGCAAGAAATGTCCTTTCTCTCTCTGTTATCTGTCTCTCTCTCACTCTTTTGCTCTCTTGTAACACTTCACTGCTTTTCTCCTCCAGCACAGCAAAAAATACTGGAACACACACACAGATACACATTGATTGCCGTTAAGGCTCTTAGGCTCTACTGTCCTTCCCAGAAGCCTCAAGGGTGTATTTAAAGAGTGCAGAGGCCACACTTTCTCCCACCATCCCAATGATGCTTAACTTCAACTCTAATGATTTATTTGAAGGGTGCTGCATATGGATTTTACAGCAGACCCATAAAACATACTTGACAGTTTTTTTTAATGGCTGCATTAACATTTCAGAATTCCTGTATCAAAAAAAAGCACACACACTAGATTCAGACCCTGATATATGATCATTTATAGTAAAGGTAATGAATTCAAGCTATATAGTTTTTAAGACCTCGGTAGGACCTGATTTTGCTGAAATAGTGCCTTTTGCTTAATTTGTGGAATCTCTGGTGAAAGTGCCGCATTTATCCATATCTGTGTTGTTTGTCTTACAGTCAAGATGAACGTTGATCCAATTCAGATTCGATTCAGAGAGATTTTGCGGGAGCTGCCAAAAGAAGGTCGTCCCATCAACCTTATTAAGAAGGACTCGGATCGGTCACAGACAAGAACAGAAAAACTGAGGCTCCGGGGTAAGAATGTTACAACTTGACTGTTTTGGGTAGAAATATTTCAATAAAATGCCATTAGTGGCTTTTATAAAGGCAAGCCTCTCTTTTGAAAGTTTTTTGAAAGTCTCTTATGCTCACCAGGGATGCATTTATTTGATCAAAAATATGGTATATTGTGACATATTACAATAGCTGTTTTCTGTTTGAATTGTTATCAATGTTGAAAATCATTTGTTGTGCTGCTTGATATCTTTGTGGAAACCGTGATAACTGTCACTAAAAAGTTTGGCATAAGAAAGATTTAAAATAAAAAAATTAATACTTTCATTAAGCAAAGATGCATTAAATTGATCAAAATGGCGTAAAGACAAAATAGTTATTTCGAACTTTTTAGTAATATAAGATTCCTGATAAAAAATTAATCACAGTGTATCCACACAAATGTTAAGCAGCACAACTGTTTTCAACATTTATAATAAGAACCACTATTAATAATTGAGCACCAATAGTAATTGATAATATTCAAACAGCAAATAATCATATTAGAATGATTTCTGAAGGATCATGTGACGCTGAAGACTGGAGAAAATTCAGATTTGATCACAGGAATAAATTACATTTTAACATATATTAGTTAATCAATTAGAAAACAGTTACTTTACATTGTTGTAATATTTTACAAATGAACTGTTTTAATGTATTTTTGATCAATTAAATGCAGCCTCGGTGAGCAAAGATACTTCTTTCAAAATATTTCTGACTGGTAGTGCATTCAGGGTTAAAGATTTGAACAAGCACATTTTTCAACCGTAGCAAGAAAGAAATTGTATTCTACCACTTTTGCTCTCTTGTATTCAGTCAGACCACTTTAAATGTCTCCTCAGTCCTCTTTGGAGAAGCACAGATCTGTGGTAGTTACACTCGAAGCTTATAGCGGAGCTTTGGAGCGGAATAAACTCGCTCACAGCGCTCTGCTGGTCCTTATGTAACCCGGGGTCAGCGAGAAGTGTTAAAAACACAGATTACCTCTGACGTGTGCTCCAGAGGGCTGTAATCTCTGTAACGGTTCCTCAGTCTAACTCTTTTCCAGCGCAAATTAATAGTGGGTCGTTATAAAGTTATATTTAGATTTTTCTACAAATGAATATCATGCATCTCTAAACGGAGGGTTCGGTGGATGGAAATTGTTTTATGGTGAAAATATCAATACATTTATATGTATTTATTATTGAAATGTATCATTATAATCAGAGGCAGCATGATTAACCAGATGGCTGACAGCTACTGTATGTGCACCTGTCAAAATATTTGGGTGTTTTATAAAATGCTGGATGCGAAATCATGTCACATAGAGTCGTGCAATGCAAATCCACCTCCACTTCCAAGTTTCCAGGTGGTTTTACTATAATTGTGATCAATTGAGAATTGAGATCATTTCCAAACGAAAAATGTAAATATATTAACACATTGCATCAAATTTGCTGAATAGATTAGATCAGTGTAAAGGAATAAGAGTAATAGTTTACTGAGAGAGTAATTTACTCACCCTCATGTCGTTCCAGACTCGTATGGCTTTCTTTTTATGTGAAACACAAAAGGAGAGATTTTGCAGAATGTGTTGGCTGTTCTTTTCCATATAATGAAAGTGAATGAGCTTCATAAAATCAGAGTCTCCCTTTACTTTCATTAAATGGAAAAGAGTTGCTTGTACATTCTTTCACATTTCTCATGTTGTGTCATGCAGAATAAAGCAAGCCGTACGGATTTTGAATATTGGTGTGAGTTTTCATTTTAGGTTGACTATTGCTTTAAAAGTAATCCCTTGTGAAAGAGAACTACTGTACACTTTAGCAAACTTTTAAAATCGGTACTACTTACGGAAAAAATGTACTTACAACAGACACTTAATTGCATGTTATTTTAAATTTATATTAAATCCAATTAGCTTTAGAGATATTCTTTATTTGCAATTTCATTATTACTAAAATTTACTTCAATGTCATTTCTATTGAAACTTGTATGTCTTGTATTTAAATATATTTGCAATTACACATTTGTAATGATGCTGCAATTTAGTTCATTTAAAATGGGTAACACTTTATTTTAAGGTGTCCTTGTTACACGTTACATGTACTTACTATTATAATAACAATTAATTATGCATAATTAATTACATGCAAGTAATCCTAAACCAAACCCTAACCATATAGTACATGTGATTAATATTACTCAGTACTTAAATGTATAATTACACTGTAACAAGGACACCTTAAAATGAAGTGTAGCCTTAAAATGTATTAACTTTAAATCTAATATTGAATAACACACTACCGTTGAGATTATAATCAAGTACTTTACATGTGCTTTAGTATGTTAGTCAACACATCAAAATCAGTGTACTTCATTAAAACATGACAAAGATTATTAAAACATGATGATTTAAAATGTACTTTAAAGTGAAACTTAATTTGACATTATTACAAAGTGCACTTTTTGAAAATTGTACTAAAGTGTGTTAAGAGCCATAGTCAATAAAGTGTCCCTTTAAGTGACCTTTTATTTGATATTATGTTATCTGCAAGTACAGTTTTTTTTTATATATACTTTTAAGATTTGAAGTTCATTTAAGCGCTCTTCTTTTATAGCATGGCTCACTGGACAGTGAGAACCAGCTCATGTAGATATAAGTTTATGAGTATCACAATTTCCTCATGTGCAGTGAAACTGGCTCACCATATTGTGCAGGTGTCATGTGACCAACATTACCATCTCCTTTTATTGCTCATAAGCTGTAAAGTTGTGGTTTGCAAGCCAAGATGCTTGACTTTGCTTTACCCTTTTTAAGTAGGTATATGGCTTACTAATGGCTTTTTAGCCTTCAGCGTTTAGATCTCAAACCAAACTGCCTTTGTCTTGTAGAAAGTTAACTGTGTAGGCTGTTTGAGAATTCATTATGCCAGATAATTAGCATTTTCAGTGTGTGTGACGGCCACAAGTCAAAGTTGCATTAATATCTAATGAGATAATGCTGTTTTTTCAAGCTCATACTGCATGATGATATAGTGAACTTGGCAATGTGGAATGGAGCCGTATGGATTTGCATTGCCGCAGAATCTCTATGCCAGCCCATTTAACAGTGCCAAAATCAGCACTGTTCTGCCCAAAGAAAGTCACTCTTCCACCTTCACGAGAAAAAAGGTCATCCAGGCTGTTAGTGCAACCCCGCATATGTCGGAGATGGATGATTCTGGCCTGCAGACTGGAAGCAGGTTCAGCATCGATGGATTGTGTTTGTGTAATGTAATGAACAATTTAATAATGCAGCAAAATGTGTGACTCAACCAGAACCAGGGCTGCGTTCACACAGAATACACTGATCAGTCTTGTTCGGAAAGATAAATACAGTTCTATTCATATGAACATATGAAAGACTGACAAATCTGAAATGCTGAACAGTTTAGAATTGAATCCTTACAACTGAAGTGTTTTTTTTTCAGTGTTAAATATGTTTACATCGTGAATTCATTCATGAATATCATTACATTTTAAGGAGTCATACCACACTTTAACAACCGAAATAAACCTTGCCTTGTCAGAAAAAGGTCAAATTATCTGATATTTTAATAGACTTTTGACCTTTACCTTCTCGAAGTATTCAATAAAATGATGCAAAGCTAAGAATTTATTTTCATATATAAATAAGTTAAATAAATAAAGCATAAATAGTATAAAATTGTATTTAAATTCTATATTTGCATTGTTGTATACATATATAATATTATTTATATATTGTTATATTTTTTATTTGAAAAATAATATAAAATTGCATATAAAATGCAAAACTAAGTATTTTATTGTTTTAATTGTTTTTTTTCTTCATTATGATATCAGGACACAGTAAAAAAAAAAATATTTATGTACCCCCAAAAATATCAAAATTAATTTGAATTCAGAAATTGAAAATCCTCCTCCTCATAGCAGTGGTGTAATCAAGTAATTGCATGTATGAATTAAAACATTTTTAATGTATTTTTAAACCATACTAATAAGTCCAGACAAAAAAAAAGCATAACCCATGTGATAACTCCGTTACCATTGTGCTTCTAAAAACTAAAATTAAGGATTTATTTAAAGGGGTCATATGATGGCATTTCAAGTTTTTCTCTTTGGAGTGTTACAAGCTGTTTGTGAATAGATAAGATCCCTAAAGTTGCCAAGACATTTTATAAAAGTTAAGACTCGTCCACGCCCTCCTAAAACGCCTCGTTTAAACACGCCCCCACATGTCTACGTCACTGTGTGGGAAGATTTGCATCCGTAAATCCGTAAATCCGTAATTATGTCCCCACTGGATGCAACAAATGCCTCGTTTGTAATGGGTTTTATTGTTTTTGTCTCATCGCACCGGGACACGGCATCACAGTATGGTAAGGGTGTAACATTTCCGTCACACGCTTGAGGAATTCGGCCAATCACAACGCACTGGATAGCTGGCCAATCACAGCACACCTCGCTTTTCAGAACGATGAGCTTTGTAAAAACCGACGCGTTTCAGAAAGGCAGTGTGTGGAAAATAGTGTTTTTTTAACCTTAAACCGCATAAACATTTCATTACACCAAATACACAAAATAATGTTTTATATATAATAATGCATCATATGACCCTTTTAAAAACAATTTTCACTCAGAAGAAACAGGAAGTGACACATTGAATTGAACTTGAAATAGAAAGACTAAAATAGTTTTTTCTTGTAAAACGCCAATAAGCTTTGTTGTGTAACTATATGTTTCTCCTCCCCAGACTCCCCTGACAAGCCTCATTCCCGCTCGCTGTCACCTCCGGAGAACGGCTTCAAGCATCTGGAGTCGCGGCTCTACAGCAGCCAGGGCAGGGGTCCGACAAAAGCCGATCGCTGGCCTGTTACTAACACTCAGTACAGCCACGAGCCCCGCTCTCAGTCCCAGCCTCGCGTTCCGCTTCATCCCCCTGGAGAGAGCCGCTCTCGGAGGCTGGATGTGGCCAATGGCTACGATACAGACAGCAGTCAGGACTCCCGGATGTATGGAAACCCTCACAGCCGGCCGAATCGAGCGTGGAGGCCGATGCGAGAGGCGCTTAACGTCGACAGCATAATAAACAGCGATAATAATCAAAACTCCCACAACTCTCGCAGACAGACCTTTAATCAGGACAGTGAAGAGTCGGCGTGGGTCCGACGAGAAGAACGCAAACCCAAGAGCTTAATGACGATTTACGAGGACGAGCAGCGGCAAGACATGGGCAGCAGGAGCTCGCTGGAATCAGAGGACAGGGTTAAATCAAGCGTCAGTAACCTCACCATTCAGACTGATAACTGGAAATTCCAGCGCACTGAATCTGGATACGAGAGCAGTGATCGTCTCAGCAGCAGCTCGGCAAACCTGGACTCTCCTGTGGTGGAGAACTTGAGCAACAAAGACATGCAGTCCATACCAGAAGCAAACCTCTCCAGGTAAGAGCTACAGTAATCCTCAATTAGGAAGCACATCAAGACATTTGCATTGGGTGATAAGTGTCACTATGATGATGACAAATATGGTAACGAGAAGAAATCAATATGAATTCCGTAACAATGTGAGCTTAGTTACACATTCCTATTAAGTGTCATTTTGTAAGGCTGAGAAATTAATTAGGGAGATTTAAATCTACATACTCTACCAATTAGACGTTTTGTGTCAGTATGATTATTTTTTTGAAAGACATGAATAGTTTTGTTCAGAACGGATGCATTAAATTGATCAAAAATGTCAAAAATTACATTTGTTTTGTGAACTAGGGAATTTAGAGGTTTGTATATTAGTTGTTTTCTGTTTGTTATTTTGGCCTTGTCGGCTCCTGAAGCTAAAATTCCCCCTCTTGTACTGTAAATAATTAAAATACTGTTCATTCGTTTTCCAAAACTCCTCCGTGTCCTCGTACTCCTTCATTTTGTGCCTTCACCCTGGACGGGGCGTAACACTTGTAATGTCTGATAATGCAGCGTTTATGAGTGGAGCTCTGCTTTGTGTACAGCATTACCGGGGAAACCTCGATCTCTACCAATCCAACAGCGCCTCGTGCTGGCAGAGAATGAGTTTGCATATATATGTCACCACAAATAGAATGAAAGTCTGTGGGAAACACTTGTCTCTTTAAAAATAAAAAAAATAAGCCACTTAGCCAATGTAACTTTTAGCATAGCCTAATTTATTTGAAGTGTGTCCCGTGTATTCTGATACATGCATTAATGTTTCTGGGCTAAGCCCCGGATATCCACTCACTGTAGAACTGCCCCTGGAATCAAATCCATTATTTCAGCACTTTGCTCTACTGATTGATAATGCATTGTAAAAAAATGGAGCTTTAATCATTTGAATATGATGGATTATCAACTAATTATGTACCTTCCTTGTAGGTGCGTTCAGATGTAGTATATAACGTTTTTATTAACGTCAAAGTGCATACAGCACCAACAAGTTTGACAGTTGAGGCAAATTCTGTAAACACTGCTTTGATCAATAATGTTATTTTTTTATTGTGCTTGCAGGTTCATTCAGACGGTCAACATTTGTGGCTCCAAATGCATTGAAAGTCACAGATCAGCTGGAATTCTGGAAAGAGGGTGCAGCCTGAATCCCATCCTGCTGTTTCTCATCGGAGAGCGTGTCAACTTTTACTGTCAAAATGACTGAAATTTAACACAACACCACAAACTCATTTTTACTGTATTTTATTTATACTACCAGTCAAAAGTTATTGAACAGTAAGATTTTTAATGTTTCTTAAAGAAGTCTCTTCTGCCTTACCAAGCCTGCATTTATTTGATCCAAAGTACAGCAAAAACAGTACAATTTTGAAATATTTTTACTATTTAAAATAACTGTTTTGTATTTGAATATATTTTAAAATGTAATTTATTCCTGTGATTAAAGCTGAAGTTTTAGCATCATTACTCCAGTCACATGATCGTTCAAAAATCATTCTAATATTCTGATTTGCTGCTAAGAAAACTATTATTATTGTTATTATTATGTTGAAAACAACTGAGTAGAATTTGTTCAGGTTTCTTTGATGAATCGAAAGTTCCGAAGAACAGCATTTATCTGAAATATAAATCTTTTGTAACATTCTAAATGTCTTTATCATCACTTTTAATCAATTGAAAGCATCCTTGCTAAATAAAAATAGTAATTTCTATAATTTCTTTCCCAAAGAACAAAATTATACTGACTCCAAGCTTTTGAATTGTATAGTGTATAATGTTACAAAAGCTTTTTATTTCAGATAAATGCTGATTTTTATATCTTTCTATGCATCAAAGAATTTTGAAAAAAATTTACTCAACTGTTTTAAATATTGATAATAATATTAATAAATGTTTATCAGCATATTAGAATGATTTCTGAAGGATTATGGGACACTGAAGACTGGAGGAATGATGCTGAAAATTCAGCTTTACATCACAGGAATAAATTACATTTTACCATATATTCAAATAGAACGCCGTTATTTTAAGTGGTAAAAATATATCACAATATCACTGCTTTTGCTGTATTTTGGATCAAATAAATGCAGGCTTGGTGAGCAGAAGAGACTTTAAAAACATAAAAAATCTTACTGTTCAAAAACTTTTGACTGGTAGTGTACTTGCCAATTTTTGCTTTTCAGTATGTGTATGTTTTTCCATGATACAAAATCCCCAGGGGACTGTGGTGATGCCCTTTTTTAAGCTAGTGCATCTGAGAGGTCAAGATTTGTAATTTGTACATTTAAAAAGAAAATGTTCAACAATTAAAAATAATATTATCAGAACTAAAGCTCATGAGTTATTGTGATTTTTTTGTGTGTGTGTGTGTGGGGGGGGGGGCTGGGATGGTAAAAATCATGGTTTACAGTGCAGTACCACAATTTGATTGTTTTTTACAGGTAAAAAATGTTTAAACTAAATGAAAATAAATTCTACAGTACTGATACTATAAATGAAAATATGGTAATAATACTGTAAATAAAATACAGTAAAGACATTATGTTTTAGGGTTTCATGACCTAGTGCTGGGCGGTATGACCAATAATTTATATCATGGTATTTTTCAAAATGATACCGGTTTCATGGTACATGACGGTATTTTTTTTTCCATGCATGATTTCATGCATGCCATATTTTCTACTGATTGAGAGAGGAAATACTGCAGTATATTGACTTAGAATGCCCTATTTTACTGTCATGATGAGTGAATATTGTCAAAAAATACCACACTAAATAGTGACTAAAGACGACCCCTTTTAATACATGTTAACCAGGAGATACTCTCATTTATAATCACAGCATCGTCTGATAAAATCAACATGCATCTACACTAAAGAGCGGCTATGCGGTTGTTTTGGCTAGATTACTTTTTTGTCTCATGCAGCGCACTGCCTGCGTCTGAGTAACAAACTAAAAAAAACAACAAACAAAAAACTGCATGTGATATTAACAGACGAACTACGCTCATATTTATAATTCCAAACAATCAGTAAGC